GGAGGAACAAAAGGTTATCCATTGGTGCTTATGGATCTCCACAGATTGATTGTGAGCTCGGCTCTTCACTTCTCTCCAGTGATCTAGAGTTAAACTCAGGGGGGTGGTTAGGTGTTGTCCCATTTTGGGGTATTCTAAAATCACAATGAAACAGACAAACAACAGAAACAACAAAAATAGACAGCCGGCGACAAGGTACCGCTTAGTGCGACTCCGGGGAAGAACTGAAAAAACAAAATCAGATGGCGAGGTTGTCACTTCGCTCAGGTTCACGTATCCTTCAGATACATGCTGAGCCCCAAAATATCATGCTCCCCAGACCATGGGTCGCGACCAACACAAATACACAGCAACACAGAAACACTGACACTGACTCAGGTGTGCAGCTCGGAATAACAGATGGCAAGGAAGTTCCTTGTCCAGACGAGATCCACAGAAATCTTACAGATGAACAAAAAGTTCTACAGATGTGGGTCTCACAGTCCTGGAGCGTCCCCCAGGCTGGCAGGCAAAGCTTAAAGACTCGTCAGTCTTGCTTTTGCACTGCCCAGAAATACAGACGGGATCCCCAGATTCTACATATGCTGCACTATCAACAACACCAGACAATACAACACAGAGGCTGGCCAACTCACCTCCCCGCAAGGCTTGAATTGTCCTGTGGCTCCCTCTGACCGACAAATCTCGGTGGGACCTCCAAATGTAAGAGAGAAAAACCACAGAGGACAAGCCAGCCTTCGGGTTGCAACAGCAAGAGGTTTATTTAGTACACAGGTACCTGTGGGCACAAAGTCTCCTCGGGGGACTTGCGCGCCTCAGGTCGGGTTTGTGGAGCTTTTATAGGGCAGAAGCGGGGTACAGAAGCAGAAACGCGGTTATTGGTTCGTTTAAACTATTACAAAATGCTACAGGGAGAGCGGGGAGCTTACTTATCACTAAGCCAGATGTCCCAACCATAAAACTTATTTATCAGTGAGTTGGAGATGTCCCGGCCATAAAACTTACTTATCAGTAAGCCAGATGTCTCAGCCATAAAACTCACTTATCAGTGAGCCAGATGTCTCAGCCATAAAACTTGCTTATCAGTGAGTTGGAATTCCTGACCGGTACGCGACCTGCCTGAGAGACTTCATGGCTCCTGACTTTTATATATATATTTTTTTCAATATAAAAGATAGTTCTTTGTTATAAAATGTAAAGCTTACTTCAAAAATACATAACCGAATAGCGGAGGCGGGGGAGGGCGTGGGGGTAGAAAAAAACAACAGAATGGAAGCTCACGTGGACAAGTGATCACGTGATGACGAGAGGCCGTAAAGGGGGAGAGGGAGGGACAGACACAGATACAGAAGAGAAGCGGGCCATGAAGAAGTATCTGGTCAGGAAACTACTGGGCCCTGGGGAGTTTTTCCAAAATAAAGGATTCATCTCTGCAAAGGATGCCGGCGACCAGGTGGTGACCATGGTTACCCTCCCAACAGCTTCCGGGTCTTGGCCCCCTCACGGGGGGGAGGGGGGGTGCGCCATAGAGCTGAGGTTCTCCCCGTGTCCTAGAGCGGCTGGGCCGGTGGGCTCCCGGCATCTCCAGTAGGAGGGCTTCCGGGCGGCCTGCAGGGCAGCGGGACGGCCCCTGGGCGTGGCCTGGGGCGGAGCCTGCGATGTTGTGGTCTTGGTGGCATCAGGACTGGATGAACCCGGAGTCAGCCCCGGACGCTGGGAAGCAGCTACTGGGGTTTCCAGTGTTGGAAGCGGAGGAAGGAGACGTCACGCTGATCGTGAGTGATGTCACTTAAGAAGACTGAGTGACGTCTTGTAATGCAAACGCTGGAATCGCCCTCCCTGCGCTGATTCCAGTTATGTCCCTAGTTTGGTGTTTTAACCCCAATCTTATATGGACCTCTCTCCACTTGGATTGGGGGACGTTTCAGAGAGGGTTAGTGCCCAGCTCCTGGTGATGGGAGAGGAATCAGCAGCCCTTCACTGAGGAAAATCACATGGAAGCAAAATAAGACCGATTTTTCTCCTTCCCGTCTATATCTAGAAGCTGTTTCTGGTGCCTAGCTCCAGAACGGACATCTCTAGTCTCAACCATGGGTCTCTTCTGAGCTCAGTGCTACCCAGTTGCCTCCCGAGGTGTCCAGTTGTGGTCCATGGAGATCCAGTTTGGTTGTGACTCTTGAGCGCATCATCCCCTGTCAGGTGAGGAGCAGTGTACTGCATGTTACCTAGTGGCTTCAGGGAGCAGTGTCCCTTGTGCTGGTGTCCTTAGACGCTAGCCGCATCCGACGTTGCCTGCACCCTCTTAAGAAGGACATTTCTTTGGTGCTCCATTTGGCTTTATTTTCAATTCTAGTAATAAATGTTTTATTCTGTTGCCTCCTTTTTTTCCAAATAGACTATCTTTAATTCTTTGACAATTCCATACATGTAAACAATACATTTTGTTCATGTCCACCCTCAGGCACCCCCACCTCCTTCCTTCTCTCTCTCTCTCTCTCTCTCTCTCTCTCTCTGTAACCCACTTAATCAAATTAGTTATAGCATGCTAGCATGCAGAACCTGCTGCTGGGTAATACCACTCATGGGTTTTCTCCCCTAGAGGCCTGCATAGAACCTTTGGGTACTTTGAAAACTAGTCAGTGAACAGAAAATTTTCAGGTCAGTTCCAGCTTGATTTCTCTCTCTCCTGCAACCAGATGTGTTGTCTTCAGCAGTAGAGTGTCTTCAGGACTACCAGGTAGTTCTGCTGTGCAGCCAAGAGCAGTGGCAATACCCTGTGTTGTCTGGGACTTCTGGGCCCTTTCTGACTAATCATTCATCGGGAGGTATCCCACACCTGGCTCTGAGATTTCATTTAATAACCCATGTCTTCTGGAGGAACCATTGCCCACTCATGCAGAGTACCTGTATTCAAACTCCTTGTTTGTTCAGTGGTTTATTTCAGTTTTGTTGTTTTGTTTTGTTTTTGTTTTTGTTTTTGTTTCTTAGGCAGGTTCTCCCAGAAGCCCAAGCTGGCCTGGAACTTGCTATGTAGACCAGACTGGCCTGGAATTCACAGAGATCTGCCTGCCTCTGCCTCCCAAGTGCTGAGAGTAAAAGCATGTAACCACCATGCCAGGTGGGTTTTGTTTCATTTAATTTTTCTAATTAGCTCATGATGTAATGGGTTTCTTTTGAGTTTTTCATATATTCTTAGTTTTACTTAACCCACCCCTTACCTCCTCCCCCCAACTCATGCTTGCTTAAACCTTTAACTCCAAGTATCTTCTCCCCACTTTCATTTCATATGTGTTCTACTCTCCCCTCACCCCTTAAGACCGCTTCCAGTCCTCTTCTCATGGGCCCTTTTCTAGCTTCCTGAGCTCCACAGATACTACACATGAAAAACACAATCTAGAAACTCCAAGCTAGGATCCACTTATGAGGAGATACATACAGTGTTTGTTTTTCTGTTACTTAGTATATTTTCCACTTTTATCTATTTTCCTTCCATTTTTTTTCTTTACAGTTAAATAAAATTCCATCATATATGTTTATCTCATTTTTATTATCCATTCATCAGTAATAGGCATGTAGGTTCATTCCATGTCCTAGCTATTGTGAATAGAGCAGCAGAGAACATGAATGTGCAGGTTTCTCTGTAGGAGGATATGGAATCCTTCGGCTACACGCCTAGGAGTGGTATAGCTGGATCACATGGGTGATTTAAGTTTAGCTTTTTGAGAAATCACCACACTGACTTAGTGGCTGTACTAGTTTACACTTCCCCAACAATGGGGAAGCATTTGGTGTCATTTGTTTTCTTGATGATAATCATCCTGACTACAGTGAGATGGGCTCTCAAAGGAGTTTTAGTTTGCATTTTTCTGATGACCAGTGATGTTGAACATTTTTTAAAATGTTTTTTAATCATCTGTATTTCTTTTTAAGAACTCTCTGTTCAGTGCCATGGCCCATTTTTCAATTAGGTTGTTTGTTTTCTTGCATTCTTTGTATATTCTAGATACTAATCTGCTGTCAGATATATTGTTGGCAAAGATTTTTCTCCCACTTTGTAGGCTGTTCCTTCACTTGGTAGTTTCCTTTGCTGTACAAATTTTTTTAATTTTAGGAGAGCCTATTTGTTGGTGATTGGCCTTGTTTTCTGAGTGATCAGCATCCTATTTAGCTTCTAACCCTATTTAGAAGACCTGGAGTCATCCATTATCCCCTTGGAATTAGTTTCAAAAATGACACTTGACAGATCAGCATGACCTCTCTTTCCTTTACTTTCAGTACATACCCATGCAGGTAGCTCCTTCCACCTCTGTAGGCTGAGGCATGTGAGTTCAACCTTTATAACTTTTCAAGTCATTTTTCTTATCGACTCAAAAGGCATAGTTTAAGTTTTAGAGTCTGATTACTTGGATTTTAATGCCAGCTCTGTTGTTGTGTTTCGTCACCTTAGAGTTCTGCTTCCTCACTTTTTAGATGCATGCTAATTCCTATTGGATATATCTCTTTTTTTTTTAACTTTTTAAAAAAAAATTTATTGTTTTAATTTTATGTGTATGCATGTATTGCCTGCATGTAGGTAAGTATACCCATGTCATGCAGTGCCCATGGAGGTCAGAAGAGGCTGTCGGATCCCCTGGGACTGGAGTTACAGACAGTTGTTAGCTGCCATGTGGGTGCTCAGATTCGAACCCGGGTCTTCTGCAAGAACAACCAGTGTCTTAACTGCTGAGCCATCTCTCCAGCCCCCATATTGGATATATCTTGAGAATTGTGTCTATCCACTGCTCTGGAATAAAGGGCCCTAAAACTTCATAACCTGAATCATCAGACTTGGTTTGTTTGGCTTTTGTTTGTTTGACAGTCTTAGCATGGATTCCAGGCTAGCCTCATACTTCTGATCCTCCATCCCCATTCTCCAGAGTTCGGGAATTACAGATGTGTACCACCACACCAGACTTAAAACTTTTCATAGCTAGGATTTTGTTACATCTGTTAATGCCTCATTGACCAAAGCAAGTGACATGACCTATTCCAGAGCCATTGTGGAAAGGGAAAATACAGGGATGGCGACACTAGGAGGAAGGGTTTTCTGAGGCTCATTACCACCAAAAGAAACACCACACACCAAAATCCTGTGTACAATGCTTCAAATAGAGATGTGAGCCCTACTAAACGCTTTATAAATGGTAGCCACTATTATAGTAATAAATTGGGGGGATGGGGTATTGTTTGGTTTTGAGGCACAGTCTCTCAATGAGGCTCTGGCTAGCTTGGAATTCCTTTATATAGACAAGCCTGCCCTTGAATTGGCTTAGAGCCTCCCACCTCATCCTCCTGAGCTCTGGGATCATAGGTGTGCACTACCACATTTGGCAATGAGGCAGTTTTAATCTTGGCTTCGTTTATATGTTCAGGTCTCATTTCCATGTCATGTTACATCTTTTTGGCTTTGGTCTCCCCCTTACCACTGTTCTGCTTTGCATATCCGTCTTCTCGCCCCTGTTTCATTCTTTCTAGGTCTTCTGCCTCAGTTCAGTCTTTGATTGTCTTTGTTGTTTTTTGCTTAGTCTCTCTAGTGTATTTAGAATCTGTCACTGAGTGTCTGTTCTAAGGCATCTAGCACTCATCTTTCCAGAAGCACTGCAGGATTGGGCCTCTCCCTTGCAGTTTTAAAAAACTGATATATTTTTTCCTTATATTTAGGTTTCAGAATGTGTACAAAGTAACATGTTTTATTACAGAGTTATGCAATTACTATAATCCATTTGTAAAATACAGAATACGTTAGTTTTCTTGTTGCTGTGATAAAATACCCTGACAAAAGTACCTGAAAAGAGAAAAGATTTATTCTGGCTCACAGTTCAAGATTACAGTCCATTACAGAGGAGAGGTCACAGCTGTAGAGCTTGAGGCACTTGTCTCCCAGGTGATTCCAGAGCTCATCAAATTGACAGTTCAAATTAACATCACACAGAATAACCTACAAAAAATTTAAGTAACCTGCTGGGCTTGGACACCTTTTGTCCTAGCACTCACGAGGCAGAGGCAGGAGGATCTCTGTGAGTTCAAGGCCAGCCTGGTCTACATAGCAAGTTCCAGGCCAACTAGGGCTACAGGGATACCCTGCCTCAAAAAGGCAAAAAAAAATTTAAGTACCCAACAGCTCTACCATCTAGAAATAGTCACTGCTAATGATCATGCATCCTTAAATAATTTAATTAACTTATTCCACAAATATTTACTGCTGATAAGTGTTTATTAAGTCACAGCTTATTAGTTATTACTAACTGTATATATTATTATATGTCAGGATTCCAGTAGGAAACAGATGGGTTGTTCCAATGGAATAATTCAAAGTTTGTGGAAAGAAGGGGCAGAATGGCAGAAAAATGGGAAGCTGTTACACTTTTTGGCTTTTGCTATCAAGGGCGAGATTGACTCACTGGTCCTAGATACTGAGCTGAAGGATGTAGCCACTTGATAGGAGCTCTGGCCTTTGGTAAAAGAATCACAGATACAGTTTACCCCTCTTAGCCATGGTTTCCAAATCCACAGATTGAACAAAACTTGGGTTGAACATAATCAGGATTCCAGGCATGGTGGTGTACCTCTAATCCCAGCACTCAGGAAGCAGAGGCAGGTAGGTCTGAGTTCCAGACCAGCCCAGGCTACATAGTGAGATCCTATCTTAAAGAATCAAAACAAGACAAAAGAATCAGGAAATAAATGTGAAAAACAATATAATTTCTTTTAAAAAACAATACAACATAGCAACTATATACTGTTTACATTGCACTAGGGATTGTAAGTAATCTAGAATTGAATTAAAGCATAAGAGAGGGTGTGTGCAGGTTATAAAGCTGCCATGTACATAAGGGCTCTTACACCTGTGGATTTTGGTATGTGTAGGGGGTCCTGGCACCAACCCCTGAAGATACTGAAGGATGACTGTATGTGCAGATCCTGGCCCAGCAAGAAGGAAGGACACAGGTGGCCAGCTGGTGTGTCTGCCCAGTAGCTAGCCCTGACACTTCAGCAGCTCCCTCACTGTTGACAGACCAGGACTCTGGCCACTCCTTTTACCCTACTGCACAAATCTAATTTCAAGGCAGAGGGTACAGACCCCCAGGTATGTAGTCATCAGCATCAAACTGCCAAGCACAGAGGAAATAGTAGAGGGGCTAGAGGGGTGGCTCAGCAGTTGAAAGCACTGGCTGCTCTTGCAGAGTACCTGGGTTCGGTTCCCAGCACCCACAACCAGCTATAACTCCAGTTCCAGGGGTTCTGACACCCCCATCTGGCCTCCGCAGGCACCAGGCACACATACATACACGCAGAGAAGCACTCATAAAGTAAAAATAAATCTTTAAAAAGCAAACTTAAAAAGTCATAACAACTGGCACAATTTTCTTCAGGTTTTTGTTTTGTGTTTTAATTTTGTCTGTATGAGTGTTTTGCCTGCATGTATGTAAATGCACCCCTGGCACAATTTTTTGAGGGGGGAAAAATAGTAGATTTGAAAGAGTAAAAGGAGACTACCCACTGCAGTCTTCTCCCTTCACTTACTTTGCCCTTTGTTTAGAGTGTTGTACTCCTAACACAATGGGAAAAAAAACAGAAGAGTTCCTTAAGCTTCTGTTTGCATGCAAGTCGCTGTGCAATTCATACTTCCATAGGAGACCTAGGATTTGATTTCCTCTAGTGCTCTCCAGATGAGGCAGCAAAGAAAATGGGGGAAGACCTAATGTAGAATGTGACTGTTTATGCTGTTCTTTAAGCCTAGGCTGATAACCCTGTCTTCTTCCATCCTCTGCCAGCATCTTGGCAACTCACTAGTTCAGCAATATAAACTTTATTTCCTGGATCATTTAAGTCCTTGGTGATGCCTTCTCACAGGCTCTTCAGAGTACTGTTTTTCGGACCCATTAGACTTGAAAGAGGAGGCACCTCATGACTTCCTCTTGAGTTCTGGATTCCTTGCTCTTCGTAGCAACCTGTTCTTCATCGGAACTGGGACCAGTCTTTCAGAGCACTAATTTTACCAGTATGAGGAGCCCTAAATGACTGAGATGCACATTCAATAAAAAATACTTTGTTCCATGGTAGAAGCGTCTCTCCATTGAGCACTAGACTTCAAATTTACCAAGTCAAGATTAGGGATGGAAGGCAAAAATCACCTAAGTGGATTGTCAAGTGTGTGATGGGAGGAGAAAGCAGTCTTGTAGCCCCTTCACCCTTGGCTCCTATGCTGTGTGTATTCTGGCCATGGAAAAGATAAAGCTCTACTGTCCTTTGGCCTAGGACACATCCTCTATGGCAGCACTCAGATGTAGCCTTTCTTGTAATCTCAGTCTACTTTCTTCTGGATGATGGGATATGCAGTAAGACCCATGGATTACAAGTATGTGAGCTCACTGCTGTACCTCCTTCCCTGTAAAACGACTTACTGGAGGCAGTCTTATATGAGATAGCATGGAAATAAACAGCATTTTTATAAGTAAATACAAATTTGTGTCTGTGATTAGTGCTAAAAGTTAACTGTGGACTGAGGTGTAACTCATTGGTAGAACATTTGTGTATGAGGTGCCAAGTCCTGACTTCTGTCCCTAGTGTGCTTTTTTAAAAAATATTATTTTTGTTTTATGTGTATTGAGTGTATGGCCTGCATGTATGTAAGTGCACCAATGTTATGCAGTGCCCATGGAGGTCAGAAGAGGGTGTTAGATCCCCTGAAACTGGAATTATGGACAGTCGTTAGCTTCCATGTATGTGCTAGGAATCGAACCCAAGTCCTCTGCAAGTGCACCCAGTGCTCTTAACTGCTAAGTCATCTCCCCAGCCCTATTTTTTAAAGTGAGTTAAACATCAGAAAGTGTCACTTTCTTTGCAACAAGCTTGGTAGGACTTGCCTCCTGAAACTTACTGAGAATGACCTTGAACCCCTGACCCTCCTGCTTTCTGAATTAGTCTGTTTCTCTGTTGCTGTGGCAAAACACTGACCAAAAAGAATTTGGGAAGCTGAGCAGGGTGGTGCATACCCTTAATCTCAGAATCTAGGAGGCAGAGGCAGGTGGATCTCTGTGAGATCGAGGCCAACCCTGTCTATGTAGTGAGTTCCAGCCCAGCTGGGGCTACAGGGAGACCCTGTCTCCAAAACAAAACTTGGGGAGGAAAAGGTTTATTTAGCTTATAGCTTATTTCTCAGCCTGCTTTCTTATACAAGCCAGGACCACCTGCCCAGGGTGGCAGGACCCACAGTGGACTCGGCCCATCTATATCACTCAACAATCAAGAAAAGGCCTCACCAAAGTGTAGAGAATAAGAGACTATAGAGTGCATGGATAGGACCCCTGTATTAAACCTCACCCACCCAGGACTCAGGGACCATTGTGGAAGAGAGGGCAGAAAGATTGTAAGAGGGGCCGGTGGGGGGTGGTGCATGACCACATGACCTGGGAACTTGCTTGTATGAACTTATAGCAATGGCAACAGCATACACAAGACCTGTGCAAACTCAATCAGACAAAAGCCAGCATATAACTAGAGAAATGGACAGGAGGCCCCAACCCTAGCCAAGGAACTATTGGCAGCTTTATCCTAACTGCTGGGTGAGGGAGAGTTGATCTTTAAGGAAGTGATTCTAGACAGGCTGAATTCATACTGAGGGACATCTGGGGACACAAATAACTTGATATACCTTAACATATATGACAGAATCCATGAAATCCTGTGGGCAGACTATGGGGGGTTGCAGATAGGAGAAGGGGGTTAGATATGATTAAGATGTATGAAATCCACAAAAAAATCAATAAAACATTGAAAAAAAATAACATAAAAAGAAGTTTCAGAAGCAGAGAGAAATAGATGCGCATTCTGCCCAAGTTCCTGTAATTCTCTGAAATTTCCTGACTGGAGATGCACATGATCCACAGTTCTGTCTTTGAGCAGTTCTGTCTTAATTATTGTTTTTAGAATTTTGGGTTTAAACATGATTCTAAGATATTTTAATCATAATTGTAAAAAGGAGCAAGTATTATGATTCACTGCTCAGTGAAGTCAGAACATCGCCTGTATCTAATGTCCATAATTAATAAATTATTTGATGTCTACGAAAAATGCTACATTTTGGGCAGAGGCAGCAGAAGAAATTCAGAAGGGAGAAACAAAAGCAGTGTCGTTGGCCCTGTCCTTCACAGTCAGAGCTCCGCTAGAACTGAGAAACTCTTCTCATATAATACACTGAATTCCTTTTGCCAAAATCATAGAGGTGCTAAAAAATATATTGATACAGTTGACAACAACAGATATAAAAACACAATTGTGCAGGTGCACACAGACACACAAAGCCACTGTTCTGGTCATCTGACCTCATCCTTACGCTGAGAGACTGTTCCTCTCCCACCCCATCCCCCCACAGCCCTATTCATTAAAACTCCTGCCTGCAGGACAATGGAAATGCAGGGGACAGGCAACAGAACACAAGTGCACTGATGAAGCATTTGTAGATATGTTCTACATCACTTTCTTAGCTCTTCATCTTGACAAACATATTTGAGACAGTGAACCTTGTTCTAAACCAAACAAAAGACCGTGGCTGGCAGAAAGCAGCCAACTGGACTGAGAAGGCCTCACGGGCACAGGAAGGCCTTCCTCAGTGATTTACTGACATCAGAGCCATCAGATTGCAAGAAGAAAGCTCCTGTACAATACCGATTTCTGCAAATTCAAGTAATAAAGACTTGGTCCTTTCTTTTAAGGGGTGAGGGAGAGAGTGAGAGAGGGTGCCAGGTGTGGTGCTGCATGCCTTTAGTCCCAGCACTCGGAGGCAGAGGCAGGCAGATCACTGTGAGTTCCAGGCCAGCCTGATCTACATGGTGAGCTCCAGGCCAGCTGGGGGGAATAAAAGAAAAGGCCTCAAAGAGTTGCACCCAGGCCAATCCTGTAGAGGAAATTCCCCCTTCCCAAGTGTGTCAAGTTGGCAGCTGAAGCTGTCCAGCACATACACACCCCATGGCATTAACATTCCACTGCCTTAATCACCTGGGGCCACTTTGTCTCATTTCCCCCAGTGTTATGATATTAGTATATAAATGTTCGTTTGCTTTTTCTTATAATATGGAGAACATTTTCAATGTGGATATTTTTGTTGTTCCAGATGGTGAGACTAAGATCAAGATTGGAGAGCCAGCTTCAGAGGAGGAAATGACAGGAATTGAGACTGAAGAGTCTGGCAACCCCAAGGAGGATGTTCTCCAGAAGTCAAAAGAAAAAGAGTTCTGTGACTTTGGGAATAAACTGAATGAAAAGGACCAGAACCTCTTTAAAAGAAGTCAGCATACCTGTGATGAGTGTGACCAAAGCTTGGCTTGGAGTACAGGCCTTATTAGACACCAGAGAACACATTGGGAGAAACCTTATCAATGTGATGTGTGTGGTAAGGCCTTTCGTATGAGCTCAGCCCTGGTTCTGCACCAGAGAATTCATACTGGAGAGAAACCCTATCCTTGTAATTGGTGCATTAAAAGTTTTAGTTGGAGCTCAGATCTTATTAAACATCTTATTAAACAGTGTGGGGTCCACACTGGTGAAAAAACCTTATAAATGTAATGAATGTGGGAAAGCCTTCAGTCAGAGCTCAGAGAATTCACACTGGAGAAAAACCCTACCATTGCAGTCACTGTAGTAAAAGTTTTAGCCAGCGCTCAGACCTTGTTAAACATCAGAGAATCCACACTGGAGAGAAGCCATATATGTGTAACCCAGTGTAACAAACATTTTAGTTAGAGTTCTGATGTTATAAAGCATCAAAGAATCCACACTGGGGAGAAACCATATAAGTGTGATGTATGTGGGAAAGCCTTTAGTCAGAGTTCAGATCTTATTCTACATTAGAGAATCCACACTGGGGAGAAGCCATATCTGTGTAATCAGTGTAATAAAAGTTTTAGTCAGAACTCCGACCTTATTAAACATCAAAGGATCCACACTGGAGAGAAACCTTATAAATGTAATGAATGTGGTAAGGCTTTTAATCAGAGCTCAGTCCTTATTCTGCATCAAAGAATTCATACTGGAGAGAAACCCTATCCATGTAATCAATGCATCAAAACCTTTAGTAGGCTTTCAGATCTTATTAATCATCAACGAATTCACACTGGAGAGAGGCCTTACCCATGTAGTCAATGCAGTAAAATGTTTAGTCGAAGATCGGATCTTGTTAAGCATTATACAATTCATACAGGTGAGAAGCCCTATGAATGTGATGAGTGTGGGAAAACCTTTAGTCAGAGCTCCAAGCTTATTCTTCATCAGAGAATTCACACTGGAGAAAAACCATATCCATGTAATGATTGTTCCAAAAGTTTTAGTCGCTGTTCAGATCTCATCAAGCATCAAAGAATACACACTGGTGAGAAACCATATACATGTAATCTGTGCAATAAAAGTTTTAGTCAAAGCTCAGACCTCACTGAACATCAGAGAATACATTCTGGTGAAAAACCCTATCAATGTGATAGTTGTGAAAAAGCCTTTAGTCAGAGTTCTGACCTTATCCTTCATCATAGAATTCACAGAGGAGAAAAACCGTATGTATATACACAATGCACCAGAAGTTTCCATCAGAATTCAGACCGCTTTAAACACCAGTGAATCCACATGGGCAAGAGACCGTATAAATGCAATGAGTGTGGGAAGGCTTTCCGTCAGTGCTCAGCAGTTATCCTACATCAGAAAATCCACACTGGGGAAAAACCATACCCATGTGCTCATTGTGGCAAAAGCTTTAGTCGGCGCTCGGATCTCATTAACCATCAAAGAATCCACACTGGTGAAAAACTACAAACATGATACATGTGGGAAAACCATCAGCAGTGGCACAGATCTTACTGAACACCAGAGGATGCACATGAAGGAGAAACTCTTATCTTGTTCAGTGCAGCAGAAGTTTTAAGGGACCTGATCTTGTTAATTATGCATAACTCCCTTCTGAGGAAGACCACATCAGTGTGATAAATGTGAGAATACCACACATGAACAAAAAATTTACAAATGCTATTAATGAGCATGAAAAAGGTTTTAATGTCCAACCCATGATACATTTTTAAAAATATTAGAAAACTAATTTTTATAACAAAATTTAAGCTAGAGCTCAGAATTGTTAATATTAGGAAAATTCTGAAGTTCTGGAAATTGCATCATGCATTATTTTTTTAATGGATCAACAAAATCATACTTTTCTATAGTCTTAAGAAAATCTATAATCTTTTATTGAGACATAACAAGAGATTTATGTCACTGTAAAAATGTATAACATTAATGAAGAACTTACCATATTTTAAAACTCAATGTGGAGAGGTTCAAATGAAATTCAGAGGGAAATATATGCATCTTAAACTCTCAAACCTTCACTGAGGCTAAATTACCAACTGCATATCAGAAATTCTTCTAGAGAATGTAGAGAAACCTGAAATTCCCTTATTTAAATGGCACTAATGTTGACATTACACATGTCCCCAACAGGTGGAGAGCTCTACCTTATGCTCATGCCAGGTATCTATAAGTTTCCTGAATGTGAACATGCTATGGTATTCTGATAGTAAGTTTACTAAGTAGATAACTCCATGCCCCTTTGTCTCAGAAGCTTTATTTGTTGGTGGTAGTGATCTCATTTTTGTTTTCCTAGTGAAAGCGTGAGTTTTTGCAAGTTCCTGTGGTGTACACCACAAATAGTTTAACTTTCAGTTACACAGCTCAAGATTTTGTTGGTTTGAAATCACTTTTTTTTTTAAGAAATTTATGTCAAAAAAAATGTGAAGCTGGGTGTAGTGGCACATGCCTTAGTCCCAGCACTCAGGAGGCAGAGACAGGCTGATCTCTGTGAGTTCGAGGCTAGTCTGGTCTGTATTGTGAGTTACAGCCCAGCTGGAGCTACAGGGAGACTCTGTCTCAAAAAGATTTTTCTCTTCTTATCATCCATTGAACAAAAATGAAGCTGTGATACTGTGGTATGGTATACAGTGTTCCCCATTACCCTTAGGGTATGTGCTCAGAGCCCCCCAGTGGGTGCCTGAAACCTTATCAGTCAGCTGATAATTATTTCGCTAAATTCAGATAGACCATGAATAGGCAAAGTGTGTCTTCCTTTGCATTAACGTCTCCAAACTTTGAGTGCTAGAGCCACTCAGTTCGTCTAACATTCACAGCTTCAAACTTTCAATGCCAGTGACTCTCAGATCTTAGTAGTGTTAGCTACTGCTCTTCTCACAGCCAGAGCCATCAGGTACCCGCAGTTCTTGGAACTCTTCCAACAGCTGGAGTTAGCTCTCCCAGCTCAGATTATCACCCATTCTTGGTGCTAACAGTTCTAGAGCAACCAGCCAATCTGCTCTACTTAGAAATCATAAATAGGCAGAACCATCCAGAAGAGATGTTATTGGTATTTCTGCTGCAAGCAGTACATGGGCTGACCAGGTAAGAATGGGAGGAAGGACAGCAAAGGAGTAGGTTCACATTCATCGTGTCCTATTGATTACAGATTTCCTCCAGTTGTTGGTTGTGGATAGGCAAGGGGTCTTTTACAGGGTAGAATGGAGACAACTGAAGCCCCTGAAAGAGGGAAGAGTCAGCTGTTGTAGTGTGGAAAGTCCTGTTATAGTCAAAGCAAAAGTCCCATAGCAGCTTTGGGGCATCTGAGGGACTTTGGCCTTCCTGTCTCACTTGGGAGCCACTATACTCTTGACCCCCGTTCCTTCCATACGCATGTATTGTGCACCATGGCCATCACTTGCAGTTTGACCTACCAGAACAATAATGAATTTTTTTTCTCTTCACAATTTCACAGAAGATTCATTCTTACTGTAGATCTTATTCCTAGAATAGACTGGTTTTTTTCTTAAGTGAATGTCTTTCACTTTTTCACTTACAGGAAATACATTGTCTTCTTTTTAGCATATATCAATTGCCAGCATCACTACTCTTGCATCTTGAGGCCATTACTGAGTAAAGTAAGGGTTACCTGAACAGAAGTGATAAGAAGACAGTGAATCTGATGACCAAGACAGCTATAATGGGGTAATAGTATATGCAAATGGACACCCCAGACAAGGCAATGATTCACATCCTGGGGGATGTGCAGAATGGTTCAAAATTTCATTATACTGCTCCTGAACTGAATTGCTTATTTCTAGAATTTTCCATTTATGTTCTCATACCAAGGTTAACAAGGTAACTAAAATCTTCACAAAACAAGGGATAAGGGAAGGCATCTGTGTTTGACTATGATCTCTGGCATAAACCCTTGGGTTTTCCTAAGTTATAAGAACAATTAAGATGAAAAGAATGTCTTTTGTTGATTCAAACCCTTTTCAATCACATGAAAAGTTGTTGAAGAAGTGATTTTGGAAAGGCCTAAGACCCATAGGATGGGGGTTGGTTGTCAGGGGGAGAAAACTTAGAAAAGTGAAACTTTCAGTCCCATTCTACCCTAGTTTGCCCTCTCGAGAGGAGAAGAGTTGGAGATTAAGTTAAATCACCAATGACCAATCATTTATTTACATATATGTAATGAAACCTCCTTAGAAAGCCTAAAGAACAGGATCCATAACATCCAGACTGTTGAAATGAAAAGGCAGCATTCCTGAAATGGAAGATGTGTCCCTTCTCAAACACCTTGTCTTATGCATCTCTTCTACCTGGATGATCATGAGACATATTCTTTTATAATAACCACTAATCTAGTAAGTAAACTGGTTTCCTGAGTTCAGTGAACCATTTTAGCAAATAAACCCATAAATGAATTTGTAAGAACCTTTGACATATATCCAATCAAAAGCACCAGTAGAAAAAAAATAGGTACACAATCTTTGAAGTTGGTAGATGGAATTGAGACCTTAACCTTAAGGCTCTGTGATAATTCTATGTAGATAGTATTACAATTGAATTGTAGACCATCTAGCTGCTGTCCAGAGAATTGCTTGGTGTAGGGAAATTACACACCTGTCTACTGTCAGAAAATATGAGTGTAGAGATGACAATTTTCCATATGCAGTTGCTAAACTTATTATTTACATGATTAATTTGCATAGAATAGTCTATCTAAAAATAAAAGGACAGCTTGGTCTTGTTTGTCTAGTGGAAATATTCATAGATTCTTATTTCTAGCATCCATATTGATAACAAGTAACATTCATGCAAAACTTTCAACTGAAAAATGGGATTAAATTCGTTATATTTCTAGTTATTATTTGATATGCTCTACTAGCATGTACTTTAAGTCGTTCCCAATGATTATCCAATCAACATTTTAACAGACATTACTGTGTATAGGCAGGAATTGGAGGGGGGAGTGTTGTCTGACGGTCCTTTTTTTTTTTTGGTCTTTTTGAGACAGGGTCTCTCTATAGCCCCAGTTGGCCTGAACTCACTGTGTAGACCAGGCTGGCCTTGAACTCACAAAGATCTGCCTGCCCCTGCCTCCAGAGTGCTGGGACTAAAGGCATGTGTCACTGCCTGGCCTGACGGTCCTTTAAAGTTAGCCAGGGCAGCAAGGCAGAGTCAAGTTACTGCTCTCCCAACATCTTTGCTTGTTTGCCAGAAAATGAACATCAGGAGTGCTTAAAAGCACATATTTTAAAAACTTATCATTAACACTACCAGTGATTTAACACATATTTTTAGTACTGAAGACTTTCCCAGTGCCCCAGCAAGAGGTGGATCTTATATGTCCCAGAATGGTGTCCCACTTGTCATGAACTGTTCTGCAGGGAACTTCCTCAGCAATCTAAGGGTCAGCTGTGGACTCATTCTTTTATAACCACCAGTAATTACAATGCATTCTGGGTGTACACCAGTGCATTTTCAGACATAAACTGATACTGAGAAAAAAAGGAGGGAAATTTTCCTGGTGACTAAAGATAGAAATCAGGTGAATTACTTAGACTTTGGCTGCTTTGCTTGGATGGAGGTCAGCCTAAAATGTAAGGAAAAATAGAAACATATTTGGGCGCTGAAAATTCACGTGCTGCAGAGTCCAGCAAGAAGGAGTTTGTTGCCCAGGGGTCAGCACTGAAGCTTGAGCTGAAGATTTCCATCCTGAAGCATTAGGATGAAGGAGGCAGGTCCTGAAGACGTTCAGAGTTACAGCTGAGTACTCGGATCCTGGAGTTCCACTTGAGGAGGCCAGAAAGAGGCTCCTGAGAAGGTGCTTGGGGACCCTGCTGAGTAATCTGCTGCTCTGGTGTTCAGCGCTGAGTCAGGCACTGAGGAGGCTCTGCAGAGTTCCCCTAGGGAGTCCAGGGAGGACTGTGGACTGAGGAGGGCATCACTGAGGAGGGCATCACTGAGGACTGTCACTGAGGAGGGTGTCACTGAGGACTTTCACTGAAGATCATCAGTGAGGAAGGCGTCACTGAGGACCATCACTGAGGAGGGCGTCACTGCGGACCATCACTGAGGATCGTCACTGAGGAGGGCGTCACTGAGGACTGTCACTGAGGACCGTCACTGAGGAGGGTGTCACTGAGGATCATCACTGAAGATCATCAGTGAGGAGGGTGTCACTGAGGATCGTCACTGAGGACCGTCACTGAGGAGGGCGTCACTGAGGACCGTCACTGAGGACCGGCACTGAGGATCGTCACTGAGGAGGGCGTCACTGAGGACCGTCACTGAGGACCGGCACTGAGGATCGTCACTGAGGAGGGCGTCACTGAGGACCGTCACTGAGGACCGGCACTGAGGATCGTCACTGAGGAGGGCGTCACTGAGGACCGTCACTGAGGACCGTCACTGAGGATCGTCACTGAGGAGGGCGTCACTGAGGACCGTCACTGAGGACCATCACTGAGGAGCATCAGTGAGGACCGTCACTGAGGACCGTCACTGAGGACCGTCACTGAGGATCGTCACTGAGGAGGGCAT